GGTCTCACTGTACTCTGAAAAGTTGGTAACCAGTTCACAGTGAACCTGCTTCATGAGCTGGAGTTTCAAATTGGAGTTTTCGATATGTAGATTGCACATATACTGATGAAACTGAATAAAGTCACTGAAAACATAAGTATAGGTAGAGCAGAGAGTCTAGGACAAAGCCCTGGAACACTCCAACAGTCAAAAGTCTGACATAAAAGGAGGAATCAGCTAAGAAGAGAGGTAGGAAAACCAGATGAGTGTGGTGTTGTAGAATTCTAGAAGGAAGAAGTAGTCAAATGCACTGGCTCCTGTTAAAAGTCAAGTAAGAAGAGGATAGAGAGTTGACCATTAGCTTGACTGAATGTAGGTCATTGATAACCTTAGTAAGAGTCTCCCTGGAATATTGATTATGAATATGATTAGAATATGGTTGGAGTATGTAGGAGTATGATTGGAATATGATTGGAGTGTGTTGAGAAGAAAATGGGAAGTGAGGAAGTGAGAGAATAAATTTGGACAACTCTTGAGGGAGAAGTGGGGTAAAGAGAGTTATTTTTTGTTTTTGTTTTTGCTTTAGTTGTGTGATTTCTTAAAAATATATGACAAGGAGAGAGACTATAAAATGTTTGTTTTCCTATGGAAATGATTTTGGTCAAAAGAGAATATGATGATGCAGGAAAGAAAAAGGATAACTTAGAAGCAAAGGAGGATAGGATCAAGAGCACAATTAGATAAGGTGGTATTCAATAGGAGCCAGAATAGTTCTTCCCTTGTATAGAAATAAAGATAGGATTTGTAAGTACTTAAGCCAGTAGGTTGGTAGAATTGATGGTGGAAGATGAGGTAGCTGTTCTCTATTTATATCAATTTTCTATGTGAAGGTAAGGTCATAGATTGAAAGTGGATAGGGGGATGAGCATTGAAGATTTGAGGGGTGAATGTGTAAAATAGCTATATTAAAGAGCAAGAAAGCCAGATCTATTAGGGGGTATACTATTATCGTCTGTTAATGTTGGATGGCCATTTGAAATTTATGGTCATAATTTGAAATGAATTCATTCAGCATACCTGGGTTATTTCTTTTCCCAATAATTTTCAGCTGTTCTAGTGTACACAAAGTGGAAAGCTGGGGTTTTTCTTAAGTTAGTACAAGAGTCTTTATGAAGCGGTGGTTATGGGACTGGCAATGGAATCTAAACTGTCCTAAGCAATTTACATGTCTCATCACACTTAATCTTTACAACATCACTATGAAAAAGCTATTATTCCTAATTTGTACATAAGAAAACAGAGGTATGAAAAGTTTAAGAGATTTACCCAAGACCATATAGTTAATAAGCAGCAGGTTAAGAATTAAAATCTAGGCAGAATAATTCTAGGACCTGTACTCTTAACCACTAAACTTTGATAATTTTTCAGTGAGGCACAGACTCAGATATTAGTGATTTGCTCAAGGTGAAAAAAAAAAAAAAGAAGAAAACTAATAATTAATACTGACGGTATTATAGAATAGTCTGACTCTGATTCTGCTGATGGTAGACTACTCAGTTGCTTGTTCTGACACTAGTATTTGACATGGTCTCTCTCCTTAAGGAACCAAGGGTCTAATTTGAAAGACAACCTATAGATACATAAAATTTTAAATGGAAGATTGTACATGGTTAGGTACCAGAGTGCTACTGACAATATTATGGCCTTTTAAAGGGAATATATCAGAGCAAGGTGAGCTGGAATGGTTAATAAAAACTTTATGAGGCATAGCATGAGCTGTTGAACAGGACTATCTGGGATGGCAGTGCTGTATAAGCAAAAGAGAACCTGTAAAATGAGGGTGGTGTGTTCAGGTGATATTGTTCTGACTGTAGTTGATTTTGGAGGTGGGGTAGGTTGATAATAATAAGGATGATTATTTAAATATTTGGAACCAGGTATCACTTCAAAAATATTACATTTATGAACAAATAAAGATAACACCGTAACGTAAAAGGTAAATATTTGTCTTCCTTGTATTAAGTGTAAAAGAAAATTCTAAAAGCTAATGTTTATCATGTTCCTTTCTCGTCTCAGCTGTTTCAATTTGGGGAATGACAGACACCTCAGTCTTGGATCAATGGAAAGCAAATCTCTTTGTGGAGGATTTCCTTGAGAAGTATGTGTGTTTAACCTCAAATTTCCCTTTTATATCTAGAAGAAGATAAACAGTAAGTTCTCCAGGCACCTAGAGGGGGAAAAATCCCTTCCTTTATTTCCTCGAAGATTTTCTTCTTTTACCCAAAGAGAAAGCCCTAATTTGAACCATAAAAAAAGAGGTTAATAGAAGTGATTAATATCTTGTTTTTATCCTTCCCTCATTTACCATATCTTTACTGTTCTCTATGCATTTGTGTGACAAAGGAAACAAAGAAATAAAGTAATTATTATGATTTTAATCAATAAGTAAACTTTCTGTAGAAAGTATCTATAGAAAGTCCTTTATATTAAAATCAGTCTTTCTTCCTGTAGTATAAATGCAGATTTAAGGCTATTTTCTAAAGTATTTGGTCAAAACATTATTTATTATTAGTTTAGTCATTCATCAAGTATTTATTGAGTACCATTCTGTGTGTTGAATATAGGATACAAAAATGAGTAAGACATAGTCTCTACCTTCAAAGAACACAAGAAAACAGGGAATAGAACTTTATAAATAAATAATTACAATACAATGTGTGAAGTATAATGACAGGGTTAGGCACACAGAGCATAATACTAGGAAGAAC